TCTAGAAATGTCACAAAACAATTGCTATCTCGCATGGCCATTCCCGATTTGAGTTGCCTTCATGATGCTGTGTGCAACCCATCGAACGGTTCGGGAAGCGTCTGCGTGATTCACACCAAAGCGGGGGTGGAAACAGGAATGGGGGATGAAGAAATAGACTAGTCGACGAAGGAACAATATTCAATATATTGTATGCCTGCAGAACACTAAATATAACGCCGTAAGTTCCTAAAAAAAGGCGTCAACATGTACAACAGAGAAATTAAATGGATCAAGTCAGTCGAACGGGCGCATAAGTGTTTGTATCATTCTAAATTTTAAAGGCAAAAGTACGAGTAAATCTATGATGAGACAAATATGGATAAAAAAAATTAATGGAGCAAGAAAGAATCCAAATTTTTCGGTGATTTTTGAGAGGCTGTATTTCGGTAAAAAGTAGTCGTATATAGACTTTAAAACAAGCATTTTGAAGCTTCAAGATTCTAGTTTCCAAGCTTTTCAGCCGAAAAATTTTAGGAACACCTGTTCTCGTGCAATTTTTACAGAAATGGCAACAAAACATTTTTGAAAAAAATTTTTTTTTCTTTTTAGACAAGCTTAAATTTTTTTATGTTGTGCCATCATGAATCGGATAGCTCGTTTACTCAGCTTCAATATCCTGCTTTCAAAATCTCGATATGATCATTTGGCGCCGAGATAGAAAAGAATAAAAATGATTTTTTCATTTTCAACCATGACGTTTTTTCTCCTTTAATTTCTTCCAAATGCCGAAAAGCTGAAAACATTAGCCTGGTCAGTAGCAGTCCCAAAAATGCGGAAGATATTTCAAAACAAGGCAAGGAGTAGATTTTTGACTTTTTTAAACTCAATACTAAGTACATAAAAAAATTCCTCAAAGATTGCAATCAAATTTTATTGGGATTTTATTCCAGTTTTTGGAAATACCCTTATATATTTTCTGTGCGATACTAGTTATCGAGTTATCATTGATCGATGAAAAAAGGATTCCTTTTCATTCAAAATCAGATACCTCCGCGTCAAATGATCAAGATTTTAAAACCATCATATCAGAGCTGAATAAGCGGGTTGTCCGGTCAATATGATGTCCCAGAAGAAAACAAAAAAATTAAGCTATTTGTAGAAATTGCATGAGAACCGTCGTTTCTAAAATTTTTCAGTTAAAAAATCTGATAACTTGAATCTCAGAGCTTCAAAATGATTTTTTCAGAAGTTCAAAATGATTTTTTAATGTCTCGATATGACCTTTTTTACAGAAATATAGCCTGCCAAAAATCAACGAAAAATTTGGATTTTTTTTCTTGCTCCCTTAATTTGTTTGAGTAGTGTGGGTGCATAGAAAGTACGCTATAATATCGGCCTTTAGAACAAATTAGAAAAAATTTTATAAGAACTTATGGCATTATAAATAATAAAAAAACATTCTTTGAATAGAGAATGAAAAAAAAATACCCGTCGACTAGTCTAGCAGGTGCAAGATCATGTTGGGATTTTCTTCCTTTGCAAAGCTACCGGTTAACGTGAATTCCCCCTGCGAAACTTACGTGTTTCACGCTGAAAGTTTACTCAGTCCTAGACAAATTTGGGGTGGAAAACCCGCGTCGTATCAGTTCCTTCAGCGATCTCATTCGTTTTCGTGCGAGAGTCAGAAATCGGGGTATTCGTGGTTTTGTATTTATATTTTTTACCTATAGTATGCATGTAACAAGCTAGATCTTTCACTAGCTTGTTCAGCTTCTGACGTCAAAAAGTAAAATTGTTTAAATAATAATGCCTATAAACAACTTTCTAGTGAATCTTTAGATATAACCAAATCGATCAATCAAAGCGATGTATATGATTTTCGATTCCATATTTCTTGGTCTATAACGCGTCTGGTTAAGCTGTCGCTTCTCGTAACAAGAATAAAATGAAAAAAGTGCGTACTGATTAATAGTCCAATTCCACGTTATCACTGGTTATCAAATAGTCGTAATTCATACGGCGTCAACCAGTCATGTTGTTTATATCGTTATCGGAAGAATGTCATTTGCACCGACGCTGTCCGTTTGTACCCGTTTAGCGTATAAACAGGTATTTTTTTCCTTACAACAACCACCTGATTGTTATACAGGGTGCGACGAAACCAGCTGAACAGTTTTAGAAAGGATGTATAGTATCTTTGTTAACGAGCTCTTCCCATTTCGGAGTGAACAGTTCATACCGTTTTGCATCTATCAAGTTTTGAAAATAAAGTCTCCAAAATTTCGAACCCCAGTAGTCCTACGCGCATATTAGGCATATTTCAAACATATATTACCCCGTATATCTGTCCTTAAGACTTAGAACGATAAAAATATTTTGTATATAAAATGCACTAGCCGCTGTTCGCTCTCTGACGAACATCCACGCGACAAATTTTTTACCTGAATAGTCGAGAAGACGTCAGCGATGCTCCTGCGAATATAATTTATCCCTTCCCCACGCTTTGTTCATTTTTCAAAATCCGCTCAACTTAATAACCCGCGATGTTCCTCCCCTCCTTACCAAATTTCGGTATCAGCAACGGACGCCGCCAAAACCCTGACACTCTTCTCGGCCCCATGCTCAGGACCACCCGAACGAGCAGCTACGATTCCTCATGGATTGCGATCCGGACGAGAGGCCTCGCAACCGCAGAACCTAGGTACCCTAGACCAAGGTCCCAGTTGGCACCCGCTAACTGGAACCTTGACTAGGAGACTAGGAGAACCCGCGGAAACAAGAGTTTCAAGAGAACCTAGCAGACCCTCTATCGATGATCGCTTAACGACATCGATAGAATGTGCGAGGTAAAGGGAACCAACCCGGCGTTCCCAGAGACTGAAACACATGAGGAGACGTTGTAGCAGACCGCAGGTCACGCACAATACATGGCTACCGAGACGCTGATGAGTCGGCCCACGCGGAGGTTAGGGTTTAGTGGGTATTAGGTGGTCTCCTCAAGACAACCTGGAGTCCCACACACGCCGTAGCTCGGGCTATGGTATGGTGCGTAAACGCATTCCCTCCCCCCCAAAAAAAAAATCCCTACCAAATTTCGGTATCAGCAACGGACGCCGCCAAAACCCTGACACTCTTCTCGGCCCCATGCTCAGGACCACCCGAACGAGCAGCTACGATTCCTCATGGACTACGATCCGGACGAGAGGCCTCGCAACCGCAGAACCAGCTACCCTAGACCAAGGTCCCAGTTGGCACCCGCTAACTGGAACCTTGACTAGGAGACTAGGAGAACCCGCAGAAACAAGAGTTTCAAGAGAACCTAGCAGACCCACTATCGATGATCGCTTAACGACATCGATAGAATGTGAGAGGTAAAGGGAACCAACCCGGCGTTCCCAGAGACTGAAACACATGAGGAGACGTTGTAGCAGACCGCAGGTCACGCACAACACATGGCTACCGAGACGCTGATGAGTCGGCCCACGCGGAGGTTAGGGTTTAGTGGATATTAGGTGGTCTCCTCAAGACAACCTGGAGTCCCACACACGCCGTAGCTCGGGCTATGGTATGGTGCGTAAACGCATTCCCCCCCCAAAAAAAAAAAATCCCTACCAAATTTCGGTATCAGCAACGGACGCCACCAAAACCCTGACACTCTTCTCGGCCCCATGCTCAGGATCACCCGAACGAGCAGCTACGATTCCTCATGGACTACGATCCGGACGAGAGGCCTCGCAACCGCAGAACCAGGTACCCTAGACCAAGGTCCCAGTTGGCACCCGCTAACTGGAACCTTGACTAGGAGACTAGGAGAACCCGCGGAAACAAGAGTTTCGAGAGAACCTAGCAGACCCTCTATCGATGATCGCTTAACGACATCGATAGAATGTGCGAAGTAAAGGGAACCAACCCGGCGTTCCCAGAGACTGAAACACATGAGGAGACGTTGTAGCAGACCGCAGGTCACGCACAACACATGGCTACCGAGACGCTGATGAGTCGGCCCACGCGGAGGTTAGGGTTTAGTGGGTATTAGGTGGTCTCCTCAAGACAACCTGGAGTCCCACACACGCCGTAGCGCTCGGGCTATGGTATGGTGCGTAAACGCATTCCCTCCCCCCCCAAAAAAAAAATCCCTACCAAATTTCGGTATCAGCAACGGACGCCGCCAAAACCCTGACACTCTTCTCGGCCCCATGCTCAGGACCACCCGAACGAGCAGCTACGATTCCTCATGGACTACGATCCGGACGAGAGGCCTCGCAACCGCAGAACCAGCTACCCTAGACCAAGGTCCCAGTTGGCACCCGCTAACTGGAACCTTGACTAGGAGACTAGGAGAACCCGCAGAAACAAGAGTTTCAAGAGAACCTAGCAGACCCTCTATCGATGATCGCTTAACGACATCGATAGAATGTGAGAGGTAAAGGGAACCAACCCGGCGTTCCCAGAGACTGAAACACATGAGGAGACGTTGTAGCAGACCGCAGGTCACGCACAACACATGGCTACCGAGACGCTGATGAGTCGGCCCACGCGGAGGTTAGGGTTTAGTGGATATTAGGTGGTCTCCTCAAGACAACCTGGAGTCCCACACACGCCGTAGCTCGGGCTATGGTATGGTGCGTAAACGCATTCCCCCCCAAAAAAAAAACATCCCTACCAAATTTCGGTATCAGCAACGGACGCCGCCAAAACCCTGACACTCTTCTCGGCCCCATCCCTGGGTATCACCACCCTCCCAGGCGAAGCCAGCAACATTTTCTGCGCATGCTCCTGACTGTAAACGTGACACTGCCTCTCGCACATCTTCGGAGACACCGTCGGCGGATAATTGATCCTGTCGCGCCACAACTCTAACGCTATCTCCTCCTCTATCTTATGCACTATATCCAACTTCTTGTCTAGCGCTTCCAGGTTCGTCGGGGGACCGTTCGCTAACCGGTAGCTGTCGCTCCGTCTGACCCGTCTAGCGTTTTTTTCGTTCAACGAATTTTTCGTACGCACACGCAACTTACCTTTATCCTGGCCAATGACTGGGGACTTTGCGGTCTCGGGCATCCTGACGTACGCGCCTCTTGACTTTGGCGACATCGGCCTCGTGCCTGGCGTCACTATCGTGGACGGAGGCATCCGGATTATCTCCGAGGTCGAAGACGTTTGACCAGAGCAAGCCCTGATCACCAATTTGCCGCTCTGCGGCGACAACGGACGGTTTTCTTGGTTGTTGTTCACTGGACGAAGGTTCTTCGGTAATCGGTGCGTCGGTATCGGACTCTGCAACGGGCTGTCCATCGTGTTCTTCACGTTGGGACCCGGTTCGAACGTCGTATGGGCAGCTCTTCGTTTCAAGCTATCGGAACTGTACACCACTTTGCCTTCCGCGTCTAGTTTCACCCTAGCACCTTGCCTTTTGCGCTCTAGAGAATCTACGTTCACGTTACTCACTACGTTGTTATTTTCGTTGCAAGGTAATTCGTTTAAGCAAACGTATTCGGTGTCTCTAATTTTGCCGGACAAAACCGTTGTCAGATTCTTATTGACAACATCGTTCGCGTATGTTATGTCTTCAACAGCTTTCAGGTTGTTGCCATTATTATTCCTAACATCAGCTATCGTGACGTATTCTCCAGCATCAAATTCTTCCAGCTTCGTCTGTTGATCTTTGTTAGCACTAGGTGACTTGCTTCTGTCTCTTTTCTGGGCAAAATTTGCTATATTCATCTTGATTTTTCCAAACATGTTATTCAAAGGCAATAAGGAGGCCTTGATCACCGGTTGGACTGGAGACTTGTTTTGAGGTTCTTCTTTCACTATGACTGTACCTCCGCTAGGACTAGGTGCTCTTATGGTCCTGGACGTCTCGGTTTTGACAGTTTTTTCTCCAACGGAGTCGGGTTGGTCTATAGATTGTATTGTGGCGTAACCTGATTGAGGATTCACGTTCACCAACGAAATCTGGTTGGAACCATTCACAGTTGTTGATATTATCCTTTGGATAGGCTGTTTGGTATCTGTTTTTGGTTGCAATGTCTTTTTGAACTCCCTTTTAGAAGAGCTACTGCTGTGTTCACTTTCCTCGTCGCTGTGTGGCGGGGTTATCACACACATCGAAGGTATCCTGCTAGAATTGATTGTGGTTTTGACTCGTATCCTTTCGATTCTCTCCGGGCCTTCCATATCCGAAGATTCGGAAAACTCAAAGTCTGAACTGCTCCTCACACCGTTCGGACTGCTTATCGACTCTATCGGGGAGCTGGAAGTGTTATGACCGCTATCAGGAGATACGTCGCCGTTATTGTTACTTTCTTTATGGACTAGAGCTACAACTGTTGGTTTGGAGCTGGTGGCGGGACTTCTTTTGACCGTACCTGTTTTATCGCTACTCAAGTCTCGTTCTAGAGAACTTTCGGGCGATTTGCTAGAGAGTTTCGATAGAGAGCTCTTCCTTTCAGGTACCGCTGGGCCTATAACCAACGACCTCGTGCTTTCAGATGCTCTTAAGGCAGTACAAACAGTTCCTGCTGAGCTGGTAGTTGTGGACGTGGAGCCTTTTCCAAAAAGTTCGTATTCGTTTTCTGCTGAAAGGACCGTGTTGTTTGACCCACTATTGGAAAAGGCAGACGTTGAGTGAAGAGGCGTAGGCGGTGTTTCTTCCTCCTTGAGCGTCTTCAGTCCGCTATCCATATGGAAAGACGTGTAATACCCTTCAGTGTCGCAAGAGTAAACTGAGCTAGTTTCTCCATCTTCGTGCAGATCATGGATAATGTCAGGTGTAAGAGTACCTTCACTTGTCATGCTACTAGATCCTGAGGTTGTAACTGGGAATCTTCTTCTACTAGCTACAGAACTAGGAGGTTGTTGGTTCAAAGAGTTATTAGACGTAGCTGCAGAGGTGGAAGATTTAGGATGAGTTGTGATTTCTGAGCCGATTGAAGCTCTACCGCTTTCTGAGCTAGCGCTCCAATTGCCGCTAGACGAGTGAGGCTCGTCTTTGTTGTTTCCGGCACGTCTCTGCCTTCTTTGAGCTGAGCTCTCTCTAAGTTTCACGGCGATGTTCATAACTGAAGATAGAGTGCTAGTTGTCACAGGAACGTTTGCCACGGACTTTTCCGAGGAGGATATCGAAGAATTTCGTTCATGGGTCTTTCTTTCTTTGTCTACATCTCTCTTTCTTTTCACGGTGACGGTTTCGTATACATTGAAATCGTCGACGTCTGTGCTAGTCTTGCTTTCCGAGCTTTTATTCATCAGTTTGTCGTATCGGCTCTTGCCCCATTGTTTGAGCATATCGAAATGAGATTTTTTAATGTCCAAGATGTCTTTTTTCGACGGCAACGATCTGAAAAGGTCTCCGCTTTTGCTCCGGCAAGCGACACCTGACGTTGTCGGATCCGTATCTTCGTTTGGCGTTGTTTCGTCCGCCCTGTTGAGTAATGCGAAATTAGTGTTTGCATGCGACGCTCATTCAAATCTTAGGCGGAGATTTGTTTATTTTTAACATTATTTTTCAGGCCAAAACTGACGAGCTTTTGGTTTTTGCAGACTGTACTTGAAAAAGTTCACCATTGGGACCAAAACGTCGTATAATAAAGATGGATTTTTAACAAATATGGTTTCAATCGTCCAGAGAAACATGGAAGATTACAAAGGGCCATTAGATGATAAAAGAAAAATAAATATTACCACTAATCTTTGGCTCAATATGATTATCTAATCCAGGATTGCTTTTTAGTAAATACTCGACGAACCACCTTATACAGGTATAGGGTGATAAATTAAAAAAAAATCATAACTAAAAAAATATGTACTCGATTCTATTGAAATTTGGTAATATTATTTGTTGTATTAACAGACTAATTTAGGCCTAAATACATTAAAATTATTAGGTTCAGTAGCGTCCCGGAGAGCACCTTAGCGAATATTATTGGCAAAAAATGTACGTCACTACCTGTTTTGTGACTTTGATATTATTTGTTGTTTGATTAGGCATCTAAAAATACAGCTTCTATGCTTCTTGTATTTTTTTCGTATCTCACTTCGCTTACGAGAAAAAAACTGTTTTATTGCATGTCTCTGGGCTAAATTGGTTTATTGATTTTTGCTAAAAAAGTACCAAGTGCATTGGAAAACAAAAATTAAAAAAAAATCCTAGGGAAGAGTGCTATTGCAACTTTTGCAATAGGTACCATGGCATGACATAAAGTACATTACCTACAACAAATTAACCTTCACACCGAATACCGATGTACTTTTTTTGAAACAAAAATAAACATTTTTGAATATATTCCGAACATTGGGTATGTCTGAAATTACCGAGCTATAATGCTGTTAGGCGGGGTACTGTAGGTATGAACATATTACAAAAGTAAGTGCATGCTAGTGGATCGTCTATAACATATAATTTTCGGCTTCATTACGACCGATTCATCCAATATTTTGGATCATACCGAATGACGCTGTCCTTTTTTGGACACAAAAATAAATATTTTTAAATATATTACGAACTATAAGAATGTCTAAAATGACTGACCTATAATGCTGTTAGGCGGGGTACTGTAGGTATGAACATATTACAAAACTAAGTGCATGCTAGTGGATCGTCTATAACATATAATTTTAGGCAAAAAGACAAAAATAAACTTTTTTCAATATATTCAGATCATTAAGAATGTCTAAAATTAACGAGCTATAGCGCTATTAGTCGGAATATTGTAGGGTTGAACATATTACAAAACTATAAGTGCGTACTTTCGGATCGTCTAAAACGTGTCATTTTCGGCTTCATTACGATCGATTCATCCAATATTTTGGATCATACCGAATGACGCTGTCCTTTTTTGGGCACAAAAATAAATATTTTTGAATATATTACGAACTATAAGAATGTCTAAAATGACTGACCTATAATGCTGTTAGGCGGGGTACTGTAGGTATGAAATATTACAAAACTAAGTGCATGCTAGTGGATCGTCTATAACATATAATTTTCGGCTTCATTACGATCGATTCATCCGTCATTTTGGATCATACCGAATGACGCTGTCCCTTTTTTGGACACAAAAATAAATATTTTTAAATATATTACGAACTATAAGAATGTCTAAAATGACTGACCTATAATGCTGTTAGGCGGGGTACTGTAGGTATGAACATATTACAAAACTAAGTACATGCTAGTAGATCGTCTATAACATATAATTTTAGGCAAAAAGACAAAAATAAACTTTTTTCAATATATTCAGATCATTAAGAATGTCTAAAATTAACGAGCTATAGCGCTATTAGTCGGAATATTGTAGGGTTGAACATATTACAAAACTATAAGTGCATGCTTGCGGATCGTGTAAAACGTGTCATTTTCGGCTTCATTAGATCGATTCATCCAATATTTTGGATCATACCGAATGACGCTGTCCTTTTTTGGGCACAAAAATAAATATTTTTGAATATATTACGAACTATAAGAATGTCTAAAATGACTGACCTATAATGCTGTTAGGCGGGGTACTATAGGTATGAAATATTACAAAACTAAGTGCATGCTAGTGGATCGTCTATAACATATAATTTTCGGCTTCATTACGATCGATTCATCCATCATTTTGGATCATACCGAACAACGCTGTCCTCCTTTTTTGGACACAAAAATAAACATTTTTAAACATTCTTTTTAGAGAAATTTTGCAAGGAAAATTCCGTGAGTAATTATTTTCTTGAAGAACGCGCAAATGTCAAACCTCCATGCAGAAATGATTTTTGTTTTCCAAGGCACTTGTGATTTTTTTAGCAAAAATGAATAAACCAATTTTGTCGGGTGACATGCAATAAAAGGGTTTTTATTTTTTTTCCATAAAACGAAGTGAGATACGAAAAAAATACAAGAGGCAAAGAAGTTGTATTTTTAGATGCTTAATTAAACAACAAATGATAAAGTTACCAAAAAGACAGTGGCGTACATTTTTTGGAAATAATATTCGCTAAGGTGCTAACCGAAACGCTCACTAGACCAAATAATTTTAATCTATTTAGGGTTAAATTATCCTCTTAATATAACAAATAATATTGCCAAATTTCAATAGAATCGAGTAAACATTTTTTAAGATATCAATTATGCAATTTTTTTAATTCATCACTTTTTTCATATTTTTTAACAGGGAATAACAGGGAATGACCCTCCAAAACATCTCCGTCTATTTTTCGAAGAAAAGTATTATCTGCAACTAAAATAAACCAGTCCACTGACAAACCTTTATATATTTGTATTTATGCAACAAATATTGTATTTATTGCCTATAAAAACCGTTATTCATATCGATTTGAATGAGCTTTGTGCCGGTGTGTATGTTCATGTGTACAAAACGTCAAAAAACGGTTGATGTTCTTATATTTACATGGTGTCTGATATTTAGCCATATTAAGCCAAACGAGCATGCTATTAACATTTTTTGAACATTTTTTGCACACTTGATATTAGTCGTATTATTAGTATCGTCGAGATCTGCAGGACCAGTCACAACAACAAAGATAAATGCATTTATGAGAAATCTCTTAAAAATCATGAAATAAGAATGACTACAACGTTTATATTTTATCTGACAATGATTTCAAAAGTTTCTTCATGAATCAGCATCGTGACCTCAGTTTTGTTTTTCAGACTATATATTCGAGGTTATGTTCAACGATTATGGCAGCTGCGATACATGTCAAGCACCTGGTCGAAAACAAAAAACAGTGGCGTACTATTTTTATTTGGAAAAATAATGCCACTAAGTCTCTGTATCTCCGCCACTGGTGCACGTTAATTTTAAGTAAAAACTTTTGAATGTGGACAATACTTAGGTAAATCCACATGCCAAATTTTAGATCATTCCAGTTGACGGTTTTGAAGATATTAAATTATTTTTAAACTTCAATACTCGATTTGCTAAATACTTTTTTAAAACGTTCAATACTAATCATCTGAAACCATAGTGTTGCAATTTCATTAAGAATTTTTCCCTATCCATAGTCTCAAATCCTCTTTTGATTTCATTCTTTCTCATCTATACTTCTTCTTCAGTCTTCAACCACCATTTGGATTGCTTTTTTATCTGCAGCATAGTTTTCTGTTCTTATCAAATAAATTGTATCGTTTTTTTTTCAAACACTACATACTAAAAGAAATTCTTTGATACGAAAACAAAAATGTCGGTATGTGTAAACATTTTTCAAAGTTGCCGTGACTGTTCCTAACGACCTCACAAATCTCCCCATCATAACAAAACGCATCATCATTTCCAGCACAAACCTGAGCGCGTCAGCGATCTCCTTCTGATCCGTGCCCGCCAGCGTATTCCTCCGTCTGCTCCTCGGTCTGCGCCCCCTCCTCCTCCTCGTGCCCCCTCCGCTGCCGACGGTGTCGCCATCTGTCGGGTGTTTGCCGAGATCGGCGTGCGTCAACGAGCGCCGTTGCGCGGACATCCGGTCGAAACTGCGGCCGCTTATGTCGACCGCCACCACTTGCGCTGGGAATCTGCAACGACAAATATGAGGGTTGAATACGGGGAGGGTAGGTGGCGCCGTTGGCACCGTTTTTACGATTTTTGAAACGGTTTTTGGGCGGAATTGGCTGTTTTTGAAGTTTGTGAGGTTATGGGCCCGGGACCGGAACTCGTAGATTCGTACATGGCTGGATCTTATGCATGAGATAGATGATTTCTGCTGTATAAAAGTAATGAGATATTCCAAAAAGTTTATCTGAATGTTGTACAAGCTGGGGTATGATATAATTTATCAAAATGCATCTGTTATCGTTTACGTTAATACTGTGAACTTAAAAGAAAATATCCGTCGCGAAATAAGCAAAAGTGAACCTGCTTTTTCTTAGTGTTATGTAAAACGATAATCAGATTCCATGAGTGCGTGCAATAAAATGAAGCACACCTGCATAATGGGACAAAAATAAAATCATTAAATGCACGGATCTATTGCTTCTAAATATATATATATAATGGGCAAAATCCGCAAAAAGAAGGAAAGTCGATTCGAGCAGAAAATAGGATAGGTAACCCGAGCGATACGTATTTCTGCTGGTTGGCTTCATCAGGCCCGAAATGAATGCACATATGCAACTACAAAAGTAGATACAAATGCCCACACCTCCGGATGCGGATGTAACCTAAAGAAACGAAGGAAACGTAAATCTGTTAAGCTTCGCGAGGTTATGGGCCCAGTTCAACTTACTTTAGCGCTATATGACTTGCAATTGTTCTTCAGGAGGTGGCAATTTGTGGTGGGATTGTGTCTAAATATGAATTTTCATTTTGGACAAAAATAAATTCTAGAATCTATTACTTCAATTTCAATAAAAACATTTTGCCTGAAAGATTGTATAGTATCTCTTCAATTTAATTTCGAAGTTCTAAGCCGCTTAAACTTTGTGAGGTTATGGGTCCCGTTCTGCGTACTTGAGCGCCATAACTCCTCTTCAGGCGATGACAGTTTGTGGTGGGGGAAATTTGAATTTAAACGTAGTATATGTTTAATTCAAGATTTACTTACTTGAGCGCCATGACTTGCAGTTGCTCTTCGGGCGACGGCAGTTTGTGGTCGACCCCTTCATCGTCCGACGACACCACGCCACTGCCTACGTCAGTGGCGTCCTGGTTGTCGGATATGAAGGTGGTGACAGGTGGAATTCTACTGGCACAGTCTGGCATCACAGTGACGTCGCCCAGCGCCTCGTCCGAGGTCCAGCGACGGAGTTCTTCCACAGCAGCGGGCTGAAATAAATACATAACAGTCAGATTGCTACGACATTATTATCACGCGATGTCCTAGTTTGACTGGACTAACAGATCCAGCGTAAGAGAGTGAATGGGCACCTAGATACGATTCCGGGAAGGGACGGCATCAACAACAGGATGCTGAAGAACCTTCCCACCAAAGGCATTGCTGCGCTCACCAACATCGCCAATGCCACTCTGAGACTTAACCACTTCCCGCGGCGGTGGCGGGAAGCCCAGGTTATAATGCTCACCAAGCCAGGCAAGGACTGGAAGCTGCCCCAGAACTACCGGCCCATCAGCCTGGTTTCCTCGATGGGCAAAGTAGTCGAAAAGGCTATCGCCGTTCGACTAGAGAAGCAGGCAGAAGAACTGCAACTTCTCCCCCCAGAGCAATTCGGCTTCAGATCCTCCCACAACACGGAACTCCAAGCGCTACGACTGACAGAAAACATCACCAGCGGCTTCAATCTCCAGGAGGCAACCGGTCTCGTCCTGCTGGACGTGGAACGAGCCTTCGATCGAGTTTGGCACGATGGACTCATCGCCAAAATGGAAGCCGCCGGAATCGATGCGAACATGTGCCAACTGATCCAGAGCTATCTAACACAAAGATGGTTCACGGTGAAGATTGGTACATGCCATTCAACAAGACGACAGCTGGAAGCAGGCGTGCCCCAGGGGTCAGCCTTAGCCCCCCTGCTCTACAACATCTATACTCACGATGTGCCGAAGACAGCTGACACAATGCGGGCCCTATATGCAGACGACACTGCTATAGCCGCCAAGCATAGACGACCCGAGATCATCCGTAGGAGACTACAGGATGAACTGGACCACATCCAGGACTGGTGCGTGAAATGGAAAATCCGCATCAACGTCCAGAAGACGCAGGCAATCTTCATACAACGAAGAAGGATTGCAAGACCTCTCGAAGCATCCATCTTCGACGAAGATATCCAGTGGAGCGACAGAGTCAAATATCTGGGGATCGTATTTGACAAGTCCCTCACCTGGAAAGCCCACATAGAAGCTGTCATCGCAAAGACCAGAGCAGCCATGGCTCAACTCTACCCATTACTGGGTATACACAGCCGGATGCCGCTAGCGACCAAGCTACGGCTGATCAAGGCCATCGCCAGACCTCAGCTCGCTTACGCCTCCGCGGTCTGGGGGTACGCTGCCCCCAGCTACCGCAAGCGACTTGCTGCTCTAGAGATGAAGCTACTCCGGATCGCCACCAGTGCACCATCCTACGTAAGAAACTCAACCTTGCGTAGAGACCTGCATTGGGACACCATCCACGAATACATGAGGAAAAAAGCGGAGAAGACCTTCGAGAAAGCTCAGGACCACCCGAACGAGCAGCTACAATTCCTCATGGACTACGATCCGGACGAGAGGCCTCGCAACCGCAGAACCAGGTACCCTAGACCAAGGTCCCAGTTGGCACCCGCTAACTGGAACCTTGAATAGGAGAATAGGAGAACCCGCGGTTGCTCCCCCCCCCCCCACGGCGTGGATGCAGAGGACCAGGAACCACCGGGACCAGGACCCACCAGGACCAGGACCCGCCACGACCAGGACCCACCAGGACCAGGACCCTTCAGGACCAGGACCAGGAACAACATATTGGTAAGAGGATTTGAAACTCTTGATTTTTCGAAAGCAAGAGTTTCAAGAGAACCTAGCAGACCCTCTATCGATGATCGCTTAACGACATCGATAGAATGTGCGAGGTAAAGGGAACCAACCCGGCGTTCCCAGAGACTGAAACACATGAGGAGACGTTGTAGCAGACCGCAGGTCACGCACAACACATGGCCTACCGAGACGCTGATGAGTCGGGCCACGCGGAGGTTTAGGGTTTAGTGGGTATTAGGTGGTCTCCTCAAGACAACCTGGAGTCCCACACACGCCGTAGCTCGGGCTATGGTATGGTGCGTAAACGCATTCCCCCCCACCAAAAAAAAAAAAAAAAAAAAGATACGATTCTTCTATATAATCACGAATAATGGACAGGTGACTACCGATCTCCGAGGTCGCATAGTGCCAATTGAATTCCTCGCATCAACTTTCACAACCCCGCTGATTGTCGTCGTGTTGTGTCACCGCGTAATCTCGGTACTCACCATCCTCGTCTCGATCTCGATGTCGACTTTCTGGCGCATCCTCCTTCGCTTAGCCTGCAGCACCGGCGTACAAACGAAGAACCCCGAAGATCGCTGGCCGTCTCTGCGCCATCTGTCGAGCTGTCTGACAGCTGCCACCGGTCCCGTCGTCGCCGCCGCATAGAGGGCGCTGAGAGCGCGCGGTCGGTTTGCGGCGGTGAACAGGGACAGGCCTTCGTCTTTCGCGGGGCATTTGCGACTGTGGTAGTGGCTTTTCAGGGAGGCGAATTGGCAGATGTCGCCCTCGGCTGGAAAAGAAGAAAAGGTAGTTTAGAAAATAAGGTATCTGGAATCGCGTACCACATTTGTCAATGTCAAATTTTCAGGAAAAGAACTCCTACGCAATAAAAAATGTATCCGATTTAATTCACGGTATCACAAAGTGTCTAAGCGGTTTTTCAGATCGTGTATGCAACATTTCTCTCTGGAAATATACAGGCTGTTTTCAAAGTTGTGTCATTTATTTTATCTGCTTGTAGGACTATTCAAAAGGAGTTGTGATCGAAAAATTAACTATTTAAAAGTTGCATAATAAACGAAATAGTAAGAGATTAAAAGTTTTTAACAATAAGAATGTTATTACACAGATTTTTTGATATTCTCGACCACTCCCGTGTAAAAACGTTTTTTGTTTACTACTCTTACTCGACTGACTTTTATTTTTTGTTTTTTCGTGTTCCATCTCTAGCTTGACCAGACTATTAATCTCCAGCCTTCGCCAGTAACCAATAACGGCAACGTTAGTGATGACTAAACCGCTCATTCGAAATTTTTCGCCTTTAATTTCAAAACAAATTAATTGATGAGTTAAAGGAATCTAAAAATCGCATCTGATGTTTTTTCTCGCGTCGAGGATATATCGTGCTCTCAAGATGCCGAGACCGAAACATAAAACCCAGGAATGCAGTGGTGACTTGTAAACGCGGCAATAAACCGTTTAAAAAAGTTGTGTATCATTGAAAACGGCTGACCACACGCGAGCTTGGATCTATCAGCGATTTACCGACTAATAGTTGGAATCTGTCTACCAAATCCCAGATTAAACTGTAACAGTGATAAACGCTTCTAATTTATTGGTTTACGATCGATCCTACGATTTTATCACCTTGGTAATTAACTTATTTACGACTAGCGTATTCATTATACAGATCATTCTGGTCTGCGTAATCTGAATGCCAATCGTATAAGTTCTGATATACGAGGAAAGTTACAGCAGATAACGTCAGCTTCTTTTGACATTTGGTACCAATAAATCGATAGCTTAAATGCCAAAATTACGTTGGAAATCAAGTTTATGCAGTATTTGTTATATCAAAATTCTGTATAATTTTTTTTTAATCCACGTGGTTATTAAATAATATTTCGACGGAATTGTTTACCATAATGAAATAAACGAATCTCCATAACTGCTGAAGCTCGTTTGCTTGCCAAACTCTCTAAAACTAGGTTCAAAGACTCATTCTCCTCTACGTTGTGTCGTATTTCAATTACAATCTTGACGTAAGAAATACCTCACATATCACGATATATTTTCTATGAAGCTACGTGTAATTGCTGTCATTTACGTTTATTGCACAGGTAGGAACGGTAGTAATTAAAATTTTACTACGAGCTATTAAAGTTTTTCTCAATCTCCATTGAATATTACAACCTACAACGACGTTGCAATAAATATCTAACGGTATCGCGGTGAAAAAATCTTCCACATTTTCATCGTATGAAGATTCTTCTTAACATTGTTATTGAAGAACTGAAGAATCACTGTAGTATATTGTATACAGGGTATCCTGGAAGGTTGGACCGAAGCTAATTTGTCGTATAAATCACAATATTTCTCACTAGTGTGAGAGAAGTATTATGTTTACATTCCATTCTGACAGAATAACTTCCATCTGACTTAGCGTCTCGTGATATAATATCAAGATTAACGGTGTTGTGTATATGAAATCGCTGTAGCTTCTTTGTCCATCTGTATTTCATATCCACTCCCGAGACATGCCTTAATAGTGCAAGATCCCGTTATGTATACAACTTTGGATATTCTGTGTCTGAACCCCATCTCGGAATATTATTTTTCAATCAGAATGATATCTCTCATACTCCAAAACATCAATCCCCTAATCCGCATAGCTAAAACTTTTAAAAGCATGCTCAACATTACAGCACTCCTAGTCGGTGTTGCATTTTCTACATGTTGTCATTTAGTATATAATAACGGACATGTCCTAGTAGATAAACGAGATCCTGTACTATAAGCTCTGCATGTTATTTATGCGACCTATGAACGAGCCATTAGCTTTGACAGTCGCTAATGCACGCTACGTAAAAGTATACTAATCATTTTGTTTTATACGCAAGAGCAACAACCATGCGCGCCTGCTGGCTGCTCTAATCGCTATAAAATGACGATTATTCTCGTCATTCTGATATTGTTAAAGTGCCCCGTTCCCTATTAAATAGATACTTTGTCGCTGTATCTCCATGTCACAGGTTACAATATTAGTGATATAGGGTGAAAGTTAAGACTTTTTTGCAATAACATAGCTAATTTTCGGCAAAAGTAAAAACGAAAATGTAAAAGTACTCGCCGCTCATCGAAAAGAAATTTCAAGTACAGCTCTGTTACTTGTGACTATTGTTCAAAGTTGTCTGCGATAGATAGACACATGTAAAACAATAAAAGAAATCACGAAGCATCTTGAAAAACGATCTGCATGTAGTCGCGAAACCTCGGTAGCATTTCGATGACCCTCACCGTAAATTAAAATAATATGTGTAATTTTCTAGAACCGATGTGTAAAGGTTTTGTTTACCAGCGCCTTGGTTGAGTATTGATCCGCGTTTTCCGTGGTCTGATCGAGGTGCCTTTCCAATCTCTGCATCGTACTGAAGATATCCGCGCATCTTTTAGGATACAAAGAGTAAAAAGTCCGAGGTACCGCAAGTCCATATATTTCACAGTCAGTCGGTTATTTATTCTACGTTTATATCCGTTCGGCGATATAACAAACGGCAGTTATCTGCCAACGTTATGTTAACAATAAATTTAATGGCTCTCGCCACAAAAACCGACCGTACGACGAAGCGAATAGCATGCGGTCATCCAGACTCATTTTTTTAAACACCTGGATGGGGATTACACGTAATTGATCGACGTCGTTGCATACCATGAATGTCAAATAGATTGAAACCATTTGTTTTGCGGTTATCGCGCTACATGGTCATATCTGGATGCGTACATCATGAGACATATGTAAAGGGTGTATCGGCGAATATATTAACTCACCCCAAACCAAGGGAAAAATGACGTCAGGTAGGTTGACTTCCCACGCACTATGACTACGAATAGGATAAGTATCAGTGAAAAATGGTATCGTACTCGTACGTTTTTAATCTGGACAATTTCAATACGCCCTGGTATCATTACATCATGACGATGCGACTGGGGCACCGTCGGCGTTGCTGAATTCGGGTCGGACCTACCGCAGGTAAAGGACGTCGCGTGGTGTTGCGGGAGTCCCAGACGTAAGCTCATGTGAAATATTGTATATATGATATTTGGTCTAACAGGTGGGTAATACTAGTACTAGTCACAAATTTCTGAATAGTAAAACGTCATTCACGTCAAATGCAACCGGGACCAAAGATCAGAGCCCGTTAATATCCTATCATCGAAATGTCTCGTGATTACAGTGACGTGGGATGTAAAAGGCATAACTCAAAACCGTAAGGATATATACAGGATTTTGTAGCTTATGAAGGAGTCTGTTCCACAAGCTTGAAAAGTGATCCATGTGCGATCCAAATTCCTCTATCGAAATGAGACAGCACAAAACGTGTCATTTTCGGTTTCATGACGATCGATTCATCCAATATTTTGGATCATACCGAACAACGCTGTCCTCCTTTTTTGGACACAAAAATAAACATTTTTGAAACATTCTTTTTAGAGAAATTTTGCAAGGAAAATTCCGTGAGTAATTATTTTCTTGAAGAACGCGCAAATGTCAAACCTCCATGCAGAAATGATTTTTGTTTTCCAAGGCACTTGTGATTTTTTTAGCAAAAATGAATAAACCAATTTTGTCGGGTGACATGCAATAAAAGGGTATTTATTTTTTTTCCATAAAACGAAGTGAGATACGAAAAAAATACAAGAGGCAAAGAAGTTGTATTTTTAGATGCTTAATTAAACAACAAATGATAAAGTTACCAAAAAGGCAGTGGCGTACATTTTTTTGTAATAATATTCGCTAAGGTGCTAACCGAAACGCTCAATGGACCAAATAATTTTAATCTATTTAGGGATAATTAGCCTCTTAATAGAACAAATAATATTGCCAAATTTCAATAGAATCGAGTAAACATTTTTCAAGATATCAATTAAGAAATTTTTTTGATTCTTAACTTTTTTTCATATTTTTTAACAGGGAATAACAGGGAATCGCCCTCCAAAATATCTCCGTCTATTTTTCGAAGAAAAGTATTATCTGCAAATAAAATAAACCAGTCCACTGACAAATCTTTATATATTTGTATTTATGCAACAAATATTGTATTTATTGCCTATAAAAATCGTTATTCATATCGATTTGAATGAGCTTTGTGCCGGTGTGTATGTTCATGTGTACAAAACATCAAAAAACGGTTGATGGTCTTATATTTACATGGTGTCTGATATTTAGCCATATTAAGCCAAACGAGCATTTCAACACGCCCTGATATCATTACATCATGACGATGCGACTGGGGCACCGTCGGCGTTGCTGAATTCGGGTCGGACCTTCCGCAGGTAAAGGACGTCGCGTGGTGTTGCTGGAGTCGCAGACGTAAACTCATGCGAAATATTGTATGTATGATATCTGGTCTAACAGGTGGGTAATACTGGTACTAGTCACAAATTTCTGAATAATAAAACGTCATTCACGTCAAATGCAACCGGGACCAAAGATCAGAGCCCAATAATAACTCAAAACCGTAAGGATATATACAGGATTTTGTAGTTTATGAAGGAGTCTGTTCCACAAGCTTGAAAAGCGATCCATGTGCGATCCAAATTCCTCTATCGAAATAAGACAGAACACAGCGCTATCTATTACCAGAATCGCCCGTCGCGACAGCGCATAGCAGTTATCGGTTGGAACTGTAAAGATCTCAGTTCGCGTGTGACCGCTAGACGCTGACGATTCTGGCGCGTAGACCACGTTCCTATACCGTTTCGCTATCTGCAATCAAAATCGCAAACTTCGACCAGCACGCTTATGTATATGTGTGTGTTTACAAGTCAACTTTCATTTGACGATCTAACTCCTATATTAAATGCGTCCTCTCTCATCTCAACTTGTCATAACTGTATGATATATGGAACAATAAAGATGATTTGTTGCAATCACCAGAGTGGCCGGTAAATATATACATCGCTGTTTATTTATGTTTATAAGCTTTGAAGTTCACCAATTAGTTTATTGGTCTGGTTTATATAGTTGTTTTTTTTTGTACGTTTCATAAACTGGGAAGTACCGGTCGGATATTGACGAAAGAACCCCGCACAAAAAAGGTGGAAATGGATCCCAGTCGATTTGACTGAAAATCCAGTATGATGTATTTCTCGCTTTTCTGAACAAAAGTTCTCGTGGTACCAAATCAATCTTACGATTAGTT